TCGTCTGAATTCCAGTATTAGTCATAACTTTTAAAAGTTCATTCCTAGGGGCTGGTCAGGCGGCTCAGTGCTTAAAGAAGTTGCCACCAAGCCTGACAACCTGACTTTGATTCTTGGGACTCACTTGGTGAAAGGAGAGAGCCAGTTCCTGAAAGTTTTACACACACACAGAGAGAGAGAGAGAGAGAGAGAGAGAGAGAGAGAGAGAGAGAGAGAGAGAGAGAGAGAGAGAGAGAGAGAGAAATAAGTTTAGTGCTTGAACTAGAGAATTTGTTTAACTTGAACACATTGCTTGTGTATCTCACTAGACGAGGATTTTTTTCCTTTATGTTTAATTGCCACGAGGGCTTGAAGAAAGGCACATGAATGCTGTATGATCTAAATAAGCACTAAATTGTGAGTTAAACTTTTGTGGCTGGGTTTGCATTGTGTCAGTCTTAGTGGTGTGGGGGATGAGTGACTTGCAAAGGTTTTTCAACCATGAAGACTTGATGGTGATATGGAAGTAATTTACAAGCCAGAGAGATGCTCTCACCGGTTCACAGCAGTGGGTTTTATGTGTAGTAGCTTTTGCGATGGCCAGCAGGTTCTGTCCTGAGGGCGCTCTTGGCTTCCTCACTCTCTCATGGGAGCCTCCCTGTGCCTGCCTGGCCCTGTGCTCAGGGCTGGGACTGAACGGTGCCTTGCCCTGGTGGTCTCAGCCCCTCTGAGCCCTGTCTTTAGTTCTTTCCCTGATGGCTAACAGGGCAGCCTGCGGAGGGTGGATGCTGTTTCCTGCCTGGCGTGTGAGGGGGGAGAATGCCCCCAAACGAAGAGGGTAATTCCTTTAGCCTCCATTGTTTGGAGGAGTGCATTCTGTGGTAAGAATAGTGCTGCTGCCGTAGAAAGTTGTGAAAGTGTGTGTGTGGTGTGTGTGTGTGTGCGTGTGCGCGCGCGCGCGTGTAAGTAAGCCCACCAAGCCGAGGGTATCCAGAAAAGGATCCGCGTGTGGGAAGGAGGTGTCCCCTCTCTGTTTGGATCCCTGGCCTGGCTGCTCTGCTCTTTCCCTCCAGTATTCTTGGAAGTGGGGCCCACTGTCACTTCCTCTCCCCTGTCTTCTTTGGTCACGAGCATCCCTTCCTGACCAGTTCGTGGTTACTGCTGCAGAACACACCAGTACAGTACAGCCTCACTCCTGTAGCCTGGTGGCTTGGGATAAGCTCAGCAGGTTGGAGACTACTGTCTTGGCTTGGAGTCACTCAGGGCTTGGCTGAGGCCGTGTGGTTGACACTGTCCTTGCTCGCATGTAATTGGGCAGCGGGGACCTCCTCTGTACGAAGCCTCTCATCTTTGAAGCTGTAGTTTGGGGTTTCTTTGTATGGCGGGCAAGAACAGGAACTGTGCAGCCGCTTGGGGCCGCGGCGGGAAATGTGTGTATTTTCACTTGTATTATTTCTGAAGCCAGAGCAAGCCATGAGTCAGCCCAGATTTCTGATGCAGGGTCTAGTCTCAGGGCTGTGCTTCTAGGGTGGGAGGGATTGAGCTGGTGGCAGGCCTGTGTCCTGTGTCCCTTTCTCCCCCCCCCCCCCCTTGTTAGTGGTATTTGTCCAGTGGGTTTTCTGCTGAGTCTGTGTCCACCTGGAGCTGTTTTTTGTGACTGGCGTGAGTTAGGATCGGTGTGGTTTTTTTTTCCACGTGGGCCACCCACTGCACTTGTGACATTTGTCAAATGTTCCATCTCTTTCCTGACTGTACTGGTGCGTCTGCTGAGTGTCACACTTCCATCTGGGGTGTGGCTCTTGTAAGCAGTGCGTTCTGTGCTCCATTCTGGTGCTATAACTTTATCTCATGTTTTGCTCTCCGGCGGGGAAAGTACCTCCATCTTGTTTTTCTTCTCCTTCACTGTCTTTGGTGGGGTTGGACTTTTCTTAGTTCCAGGAAGGTGTTGCCAGGGTGGTCTGCCTGAATGCCGCTTCCCTAAGTTAAGGCAGTTTCGGCCTTCAGTAGATCTCTTCTTGTGTAAATTGCTAATCCTTGGGAGGAGGGCTAGAAAACCATTCACAAATCAAGCTTAGCCGTTGTAAATGTTTGTGTCTTCTTTGTCCTGACTAAGCCTATTGCATTTAGTCATTTCTAGAAGGTTCCATGTGCTTGGTTATGCTCTCCATGTCTGGACTCTTCCCTGGGTGTTCTGCTCTATTTCTTGTGTATATCCTTCTGCTGGGGCTTTCTTTTATAGTGTATTTATTTAAGTTAAGCCTTTCACGTTTTTTTTAGAAGATCCATGTATTCTGACCTATATCTGTAATCTCATTTCATTTTTCTCACTTATTTTCCCTTCTCTTTCCTGAATTGCATTTTTAAATTCCATCTGCAACTTACATAACCTGTCCCTATTCTTCTACTGCTTGCTCTTACGGTTTGGACATGATTCTTCACCTAGCAGAAACCAAAGCTAGTTCTTCCTCTTCCTCAGCTTCAGTCGCCCTCAGCTCTGTTTTAATTGTATCTTCCAAACAGTTTTGGTTCTGTTTGAAACACCAAAACGTCTTTTTGAGAGAGGAGGTGGGGTTGTTTTATATTTTAAGCCTAACCCATGTAAATGTCAGCATTTTATCATTTCAGTTTGCATACCAGATTTTTTTAGGGTTATAACCGTGTTTAATTTTTTTCCCCCTGAAATACATATTTCAGAGATTTTTTTAAGTGAGGCACATGCTCTCACTCTGTTTCTAAGGAGTTCTTATCACAGTCTCCTTTGCTATTCACTTGTGGGGTTCTAGGGGCTGAATTTGGAGCCTCACCTGTTTCTAGGCAAGGACTTTACTGCTGAGTTCCGCATCTCCAAATTTGTGTGTGTTATTTCTTGGCTTTATTATTTAGTGTTTGTGGGTGTTTCGCCTGAGTGGGTGTCTGTTCACCACATGTGTGCATTGTCCTGTAGTTACAAATGGCTGTGAAGTGCTGTATGAGTACTGGGGAATGAACCTGGGTACCTGGGAAGAGCAGTCAGTGCTTTTAACTCTTAACCACTCCTGTACCTAAACTTCTGAGTGGTCGGACACTGAAATTGCAGTTTATATGAAGGTTTATTTGCTAGAATAAGGCAGTGCTTTCAGATGGACTTAACAATCCTCCTTTTTTTTTTTTTAACTTTGATTTATATTCTTATCCATCAACTGTTTAATTTCTATGGATACAACTATTATTGTTATTATTATTATTATTATTATTATAGAAATTCCATTAATTTGTATGATCTTTTTTGAAAGCACCTTTTTGTACAAAAATAATTTCGCCCTTGCTACTTGACATTTTGAGTCAGGAAGCTGGCTTTCCTGTGTTCCTTGGTGTCTTCCGCCCTTGTAGGGACGTGTTCTTCTGCTCTTTGCGTTCTTTTTTTTTTTTTTTTTTGGTTTTTTCGAGACAGGGTTTCTCTGTGTAGCTTTGCGCCTTTCCTGGAACTCACTTGGTAGCCCAGGCTGGCCTCGAACTCACAGAGATCCGCCTGGCTCTGCCTCCCGAGTGCTGGGATTAAAGGCGTGTGCCACCACCGCCCGGCCTGCTCTTTGCTTTCTTAGGGCAGTTTTGTTAGGTAAGAGCTTTAAGGCTGAAGTACATCCTCAGCCCTCTTGTGTTTCCTAACGCGGGGTTATGGCTTCCTGTTGGGCCATGCGCAGTCTGTAATGCCATTGGGATGAAAATCCAGAAAGACCTTGAGGTGGTGTGGTAGGTTGAATGAGAATGGACCCCGTGGGCTCATGTATTTTCGTGTTCGGTTTCCAGTTGGTAGGCGCCACTGTCCCGTCCTGCCATGGTGGTCTGGACTGCCTCTCTAAGACCGTAAGGAAGCCCTCGTTAACTGTTTTCTTCTATACATCGTCTCTTCACAGCAATAGAAAAGTAACGAGGACAAGAGGTTTTCCCCTTTCTTGGATGGAGCACGTTGTATAAATCTGAGCCCTTGCTCCCCCTCGAGGGCAGCCCTGTGATTATATAGTCTGAGGGAAAAGACCTGCCACGCTCCCTCCTATCTCTCCCCAAGTTGTCCTGACCCAGAGACTTGTTTCTTCCGCGTGGCTTCAGGGTTGTGTGTCCTGATAGGAATGGCAGTGCCCCTGGGTCCCTGCCTGTTCAGATTCTACATGGGAAGGCGTTATTGCACAAGAGTCTTTCTGCTACAGGTATGGGCAGTGGACCCGAGTATTTACTGGGAACATTCAGAGCTAGTGGGAAAAAGAAGGGGTATCAGGCCCTATGTGGTCCCTGTCTGTTGAATAGAATCTATGTTTAACCAGTCCCCAGGAATTCAGATGTGATTGTTACCCCCCCCACCCCACCCCACCCCCGCCACCTATGTGTGCATGGGCGTATGTGTGTGTGTGTCTTGTGTGCATGATTGTATGCCTGTGTGCACGGGTATGGGTACATGTGTATTTGGAGTGTATGTGCATATGTGTGTGTGTGCATGTGTGCATGGGTATGTGTATATGTGTGCACAGGGGTGCATGTGTCTGTGTGAGTGTGGGAGCTTCTGGTTGATGCTAGGCATCTTGCTCTATCACTCACCTGTTATACAGATACCCACCCCCTCATGACCTAATCTGTCTGAATTCACTACCTCCTCAGACTCTACCTCAAAATTCCATCCCTTTGGCATTGTTTTCCTTGTTTCAACATAAGGATTGTGGGGAACAAATATTTTACCCATAACAATTACTTTAAATTGTCAAACATTTAAAGTATAAAAATGTATAAAAATGTATGTGAAATATCATAGCAGTGACAATAAAAATTTATTGAGCCAAGATTATGACTTGTACTAGGAGAATCATCAATACACACATACTCGGAGAATCATCAATACACACACACACGCACACGCACACGCACACGCACACGCACACGCACACACACGCGCATGCACCCCATGCTTCACTTCTGGCCGCCATCACACACCAGATAGCATTCGGCCATGACTGTATGTGCTGACGGCGTGCGTTCTTCTGCTTCTCTGGCAGGGCACAGTCTCTGCAGCGAGCAGGGCAGCAGTGCTGAGGTCGCTCCAGAAGAGGGCGAGGGACCAGACCTGGAGTCTTCCGATGACACAGATCACAGCAGCAAGGTGAGAGATTTTCATTTTCACATCCCGTGTCCTGCAGGATCACAGCTGACACGCCACCTCTGCGGCTGCGTGTGCTTAGGTGGCCTCTCCGTGGGATGAAGTGTTTCTGCTTCTGAGATGCTACTAAATAGCTGGACATGGAATCCAAATTGCAGCCTTGGTAACGAACCCATATGGGAGAATCCAGGGCAGAAATCACTGGGAACGAATTGAGGCTTCTTTCGTTAATTTCTGCCCCGGCTGGAATTCCCCATTAATGCCACAATTTCATCCCATTTCCTTCCTCCGTCGTCATTTGGGCAGGATGAGGCATCATCTCAAATGCGCATAATTGAGTCAGCGATGCCTTCTTGCTACTTAGGGGTTCTGTAATGAGCCGCTTTTGAGCAATGTGCTTTCCGCCCTTGTTCAAGGTGCACTTTTTTTTACACTAAAGGGAAAGGAAACAATTTTTTTTTAAAATTAAGACAATTATACTGTTCTTTAGTTGAATACTGTGAGCAAAACCTTTTCTTTTGATACTTTGGTGTAACACAATGAGATTGATGTCTGTAATTCTGCGGGCTTCTCTTCTACTTTGTCAAGTGTTCAGTGTATCAGTAATTCGTTTGTTCCAGAGTTTCTGAAGCAATAGTGTTTAAAAACCCTTGTGTCCAAAAGACATGTTTCCAGACTGCATCACTGTATTAGTTACTTTTCTGCTGCTATGATAAAAACACTCTGACCATTATCAACTTAGGGGAGGGAAAGGTTTATTTCATCTTACGCTTCAGGTCACAGTTGATAGAAGTTAAGGCAGGAACCTGAAGTAGAAACGGTGGAAGAAGGCTTGGTGCATACCTCCCCACCACTACCTGTTTTTTGAGTTTTTCGAGACAGTGTCTGTCTCACTATTTAGACCTGGCTGGCCTTGGTCTTGCAGAAATCCCTTTGCCTCTACCTTTTGAGTGCTAGGATTAAACATTATACCACCATGTGTGGCTTAACTAACTTTCTTATACAGTCCAGGACAGTCTGCCTAGGGATGGTGCCACCTGGAGTGGGCTGAGTCCTCCTGCATCAGTTAATAATCAAGACAATGCCCCAGAGACTTGCCCAAAGGCCAGGCTGATCTGAGTATTCCCTTCTCCTCTCACATGACTCTAGCTTGTGTAATTGTCTAGGTTGACAATTAAGGCTACTCCACAATCATCTTGTCAGATAATGTTAATCTCTCCACTGCCCGTTGTTTTCCGACACTTCCCAGTCACCCACATGAACAAATCACATATTGGAAGCCAGAAGAAGGTATTGGATCTCCTGGAGCTGGAGTTATAGGTTGGGGGGGGGGGAGCTCTTAAACATGGAGAGTGGGAACCAAGCTTTGATCCTCTGCAAGAGCAGTGTGCTGGTTGGTTTTTTTTTGTCAGCTTGACATAAATTCAGGTCATCTGCAGAGAGGTTGTCCCAGTTGAAAGAAAGCCCCCATCAGAGTAGCCTTTGGGGCGTTTTCTTGACTAACGATTAATGCAGGCCCACCCCACTGGGAGTGGGTGGAGCCACCCCTGGGACCGTGGTCTTGGATGGTATAAGAGAGCAGGTGGCGGAAGCCGGAAGCTGGAAGCCGTGGGGCATAGCCAATACGCAGCTTCCTCCTTGGTCTCTGCTTCAGCTCCTGGCTTGGATTCCTGTCCTGACTTCCCTCAGTGATGGACTGTGACTCCAAGATAGAAGACAGAGATGCCCTTTCCTTCCCAATTTGTTTTGCATGGTGTTGATCACAGCGAGGAAACCCGGAGTAAGCCAAGTGCTCTTCCGCACTGAGCCATCTCTCCAGCTCCTGTTAGTAGCCCTTCATTGATTAAATTTCTGATTCAAGAGATTTGAAAGCAAAAAAAATTCGAATTATACAGGCAGATCTTGGTGACCGGGTCCCACGGAATATTAATTATAAAGTCATGCTAATTCTATCTGTGGCGTATAGTAGGTACCGTTTCACATAACGTCATCTTCGCAACACTCCTGAAAAAGATGCTCTCGGATTCTGTTAAGGAGGAGACTGCGGGTGGGGTTAGGCACTTGCTGAGAAACCCATGCGGTCTGTGGTATTGAAAGCAAGATAACAACCCAGTCTGGCCCTGGGCCTTGTGTTATTGATGCCTGCATTTAAATTACCTGCAGCCAGATTGTTTTGTGCCGACATTAAATACCAGGCTTCATGAAAGAGGGAACTAATTTATTAGTGGTGCTAGAGGCCAATTAGATATACAGCCACGAGCCATCTAGCCAGTTTCCTGATGCTTAATCTTCCTAAAGTGTCTCTTGATTAAGGTTAAACGCTCTGGTTGCATCGACTGTATTGGTATGTAAATTCATTTTTAAGTTGTATACTGCTGTAACCTGGAAGGGATGATTAAGCCTTGTCTGAACGCACACACGTTCATCAGGTAGAGAAAGATACCTAAGAAATTAATAGAAAGTGGATGACGAAGTGGTTCAGCGGGCTTAGGAACCTGTCGCCAAGCTTGTCAGCCTGATTTCTGCCCCTGAGATCCACATGGTGGGAGGAGCCATTGGGTCCTGCAGATTGTCATCCGACCTCCACACATGCACCGTGGCATGCCCTGCGACCAGACGTGCCTACACCCAACAGAATATTGAAATAACTGATTAGATTTGGTTGGTGTCTCTCTCTCTCTCTCTCTCTCTCTCTCTCTCTCTCTCTCTCTCTCT